TGGGGAAATGAAAATTCCAGGGGTCATTTTGATTAAAGGCCGTTTCAATAAACTCATACAAAAGAAGTCACAAGATTTATTGCTTACAGATCCTAGAAATGAGGAGGGTGGAGGGGCACAATGAGCCAGGGGAGGGGCAGTCTTCCATCCCAGGTCATAAGCCAGGGGATAGAGAACATGGTAGCAAACACCTCTTATTATAAGGTGGTTAGGACAGAGGTCACTGACTTTTCATGGGCTCAGCTCTCTAAGTGAATATTTTACTCCAGGAAAAATAAAGAAGGAACTTGAAGTAGGGATCCTAAGCTCTGGTTGTCATACTACAAAATGCCTGGGAAGCAACTCAAAATAGCCTTCTCATCACAACCATCATCCATATCCAGAACTCTTTTCATCTTGTAAAATTGCAACTTTAAACCCAATTAACTATACCTCCCCATTCCCTGCCAACCCTTGGCAACCACCATTCTACTTTCTGCCTCTATGATTTTGACAACTCTAAGTATTTCACATAAGAGGAATCATACAGTTTGTCTTTTTGTGACAGGTTTGTTTCAAGGTTCATCCATGTTACAGCATGTCAGAATTTCCTTCCTTTTAGAGGCGAATGTTCCACATTTTGCTTATCCATTCACAAATTGATGGACACTGGGTTGCTTCAATTGTTTTAGCTATTGTGAATAATGCTGCTATGAACACTAATGTACAAATACAACCAACTTTATTTTTAATAAACAGCATTGAGGTATATTTCACATGTAATACTAGTAAATTACACATACTTCAAGAGTACAACTTCATACAGTTTTATGTATACACTAGAGGCCAAGTTATTGAATTCGTGCACAGGTGGGGTCTGGCCGGCCCACACTGATAGGGTGATCAGGCCAGGCCAGCTGGGGGGAGGGGCCATGGGCAGTTGGCCAGCCATGGCCCTGTCCTCTGGTCAAACTCCTTGTCAAGGAGATAATTTGCATATTATTATATAGGACGGTAAACATACCCATTACTACCCCCATCCCGTTTTGTTATCCCTCATTCATTTTTCCCTGCTCCTCCCATCCCCACCCAGTCACTGATCTTTGTGTCACATTAGTTTGCATTTTCTAGTTTTAGATAAATCATAAAACTTTTTACCATTTTATATTGCCATCAACAACATGAAAGTTCCAGATGTTACCAATACTTGGCATAATCAAGTCTTTATAATTTTAATCATGTGTAGTGATATCTCATTGTTTTTTTCATTTTCCTAATGACTAGTGATGATGGACGTCTCGTGTGCTTATATGCCATCTATTTAACTTTTTGATGAATTAGCTGTTCAAATCTTTTGCTCCCCCCTCCCTTTCATTTGGGTTGTTTTGTCTTATTGTTGAGTTTTAAGAGTAATTTATACTTTCTAGACACAAATCCTTAGTCAGCACATATGTGGTTCACAAAGATTTTTCTCGTTTGAAGGTTGTTTTACTTTTTTTTATGGTATCCTCTGAAGCACATTAATTTTGATGAAATATAGTCTTAAAAGTTTTGTATTTAGATCTATGATATACTTGTATAGCATGAGGTATAAAGTGGATTTTCATTGTATATGGTATTCAATTACAGCACAATTTATTGAAGTTTTTTTTCTATAGTTGCCTTTGTAAAAATTCACTTGTCCATGTGTGAATATAGCTATAAACTGTGTTTCACTGATCTATTTGTCTAGCTGTATGTCACTACCAGTCTTGATTTCTATAGCTTTATTTACAAGCCTTGAGATCAGATAATGTGTTTCAACTTTATTCTTTCAAAACCATGTTTAGCAATTTTAGGTCCTTTGCACTTTCATTTGAATTTAAAATTTGTCTGTTTCTACAAACTTTAAATTCATATGAAAGTGCAAAGGACCTATCAAAAATTGGCTTTTGATATTGATTGGGATTATGTCAAATCTATAGATCTGGGGAGAACTAGTATCTTACTATGAGCACAGTACCCCTATTTAGTTCTTTTAGCAATGTTTTAGACTTTTCAGTGTACAAGTCTTCCATGTTTTTTGTTAGATTTATCTCTAAGTACTCCATATTTTTAAATGGTGATGGAGACTTGACTTGGGATGAATATACAATACAGTGCATGGATGAAGTGTAGAATTGTATACCTGAAACCTGCAATTGTTAACCAGTGTCACCCCAATAAATTAAAAAAGAAAAAAGCATTTGTAAATGGTATTTTACTTGTTTCATTTGTTGCTAGATATAGAAATGTAATTTACTTTTGTATATCAATGTTATATTCTGTAACTTTGGCAAATATATTACTTCTAGTAGCATTTTTAATAGATTACATTGACTTTCTAAATAGGTGATCATGTTGTCTGCAAATTAAGTTACATATCTTCTTTTCAGTCTGATTTTCATTATTTTCTTGCCCTATGAACCTCCAGCACAACACTAAATACAGAAATGAGAGCAGACATCAGTCTGTTCCCAATCTTAGGAAGGAAACAGATTTTCACCATTATCATGTTACCTATACTCTTAGTAGATGCTCTTAATCAGGTAAAGAAGTTTCTTTCCAATCAATTAATTATGTAACTTTTCTTTTACAGTTGTTAATAGTGAATTTCATTGACTTTCAAATGTTAAAAACTAACCCTGCATTCTTGGGATAAATACCATTTAGTCCTGATGCAACGTTCTTTTTTCATGTTGGACTTGCTTTGCTAAAAATTGTGTTTAGAATTTTTGCACTTATGCTCATGAGGGATATTGTTTTTTAGTTTTCTTTTAATGTCTGTTTCAGGTTTTAGGATCTGGACAACACTCACCTCACAGAATGAGTTGGGAAATAGTCCACCTCTTCAATTCTATGGAATTGTTTGTGTAGAATTGGACAGAATAGGCTAAAGGTACTCTAGACAGGAAGCAAGTGGTAGGCAAGGAAGAACTTAGGTAAATATCCCTAAAATATGTTATTTTGGCATAAGGATTATTTTAGGCTAGGTGATTTTAAGAAATAGCATACATGGGAGAAGTGCTAAAAACCAACCTGAAGTTACCCTTTGTAAAATACTCACTTGTAAGGGAAATCTTTAATTGTAAGGGTGTCTCTCTCCCTGTATCCAAAAGAGGGGGATAATCTGACCTCTAGAAACTCTTATCAATGCAGAAGGCAACCACTTACATCTGCATAACACCCAAAATCTTTTGTCTTCAGCTGATGATATTTAAGATGGTATTTTCAGCCATTTTGGCAACTTACTCATTTTTCTGGTCTTTCCCATGTATATAGTACATAAACATGTTATTAATTTTTTTTTTCCTGTTAATCTGTATTTATTTACAGGGATGTCTCAGCCAAGAACCCAGAAGAATAGAAGGAAAATGATTTTTCCTTCCTACAGAGCAATAGCCTATATCACATAGCCTACGTGTGTAATGAGGTTTATTATCTATGTTTAAATTACATTCTATGATGTAATACAGTGGCTAAGTCAACTAACAATGCATTTCTCAGAATGTATCCCCATCAAGTGGTACATGAATGAATTTATTTAGGTTACTATATTTTCTTAGATGCATAATAAAGGCTACCTAGAAAGCGTTACTCTACTGTACAGGGATAAGCAAAAGTAGGTTTACAGTTGTGAGAAGCATGTAAGAAACTGATGACAATAAAGAACTCTGTGCCAAAGTATGCTTGAATATAGTAAGTAGACTCTAAGAATGTGTGAAACAATAAAGGCTGGCCATTTGAGCACTAACAAGATTGTACCTAAGTGAAGTGTACCATTGTGACATTCTTTTGAGTTAATAAAGCTATTGTAGCCCACCAGTGTGGCTCAAGGGTTGAGTGTCAACCTACGAACCAGGAGGCCGTGGTTCGATTACCTGTCAGGCACATGCCTGGATTATGGGCTCAATCCCCATTAGGGGGTGTGCAGGAGGCAGCCAATCAATGATTCTCTTTCATCTCTGATATTCCTATCTTTCTCACCCCCTCCCTTCCTCTCTGAAATCAGTAAAAATGTATTTAAAAAATAATAATAAAGCAATTGTAATAATCTGCATATTTTTCCATACAAACAACTGTAATAAACCTATTGCTAACTCCTGAATATATAAAAATCTAATTTTCAAAATTATATGTCTCTCTACAGCAATACCTTAAAATGCACTTAATAATTGTAATATTATCATAGCTAAAAGACACCTGAATGGTGGTGAACAACAGGTATTTCACACTTATAACTTTCCTCAGGTCTCTTAAAGCCATTTGGGATGCATAAAGCATCCTTATTGCCTTTATGCCCTCTGCTTAGATTTTACTTCTGGCCTAGCAAATTCCAAACAGGCAAAAAGAAAAAAGAAGATTAACAGAAAAGAACAAATTAACAAAGTCAGTAAGTTAATCAAGAGAAAATTACATAGTATGGAAAACCAGAAATTATACCCTAGAATGATTCATTCTTTAACACAAGAAAATATGAGCATCATATTTAAAGTCCTTAATGTACTTTTACTTTATTTAGTTTTAGACTATAAAATAATTAATATGAAAACAAGTTATCTTATGTACTAATATTCTGCAGGAAATGGTATAATTGTTTAGGTAACCATTAGAATGCAAGAAATAATTCTAGCCCATCTGGCGTGGCTCAGTGATTGAACATCATCCTATATACTGGGAGGTCATGGTTGGATTCCCAGCCAGGGCACATGTTCAGGATGCGGGCTCAGTCCCCAGTGCGGGGCATGCAGGAGGTAGCCGGTCAATGATTCTCTCTCATCATTGATGTTTTTATGTCTCTCTCCCTCTCCCTTCTTCTCTGAAATTGATAATATATTTTTTAAAAATTATTCTAATCCCAGTAGTTTTAACTTGCCTTGTGACTTTCAGAATACAGTATTAATTTTTCATCCTCAGGATTCGGGCTCAGTCCCCAGTGGGGGGCATGCAGGAGGTAGCCGGTCAATGATTCTCTCTCATCATTGATGTTTTTATGTCTCTCTCCCTCTCCCTTCTTCTCTGAAATTGATAATATATTTTTTAAAAATTATTCTAATCCCAGTAGTTTTAACTTGCCTTGTGACTTTCAGAATACAGTATTAATTTTTCATCTATACAATAAAGCTGGATCAAATGATAACTAAAACTTTTGACAGTTCTCAATGTTAATGATGCTACATTACTTATATAGCCAACCCACTTTTTTCTAAATGAAACTTCTTAAATTAGCATTTTCCTTAAAAATGGTGGAAAGTTTCGAAAATGCATTGCATTTTAGAAAATTCGAATTCAAATCTATTTCAGACTAGGAATTGAAAACAATAATTTCCTTACAAATAAATTGAGTAATTTCCTCTAATCATGTTCCTAAGAATGTGCAAGTATTAATTAAACTTCAGAAATGTATAAAAACCTTAAGGAACAGTTACTAAAAGTAAAAATATTTAAGAAATCGTATCCTTTAACTTAGTAGGTTGAAGCTTTATGTTAGGAAAAAAAGCCCTATGACAATAAAAAATTAAGTAGATAACTATTTTTGATAATCCCCTGAGATCACAGTATTTAAAAAATAGATCTCCTTTCCTCTGTATAATTCTACTACATAACTGTTAACTCTCCTGAATTTCCAAAACTTACATGGAATTACTTTCACATACATCTCCAAGGAAAGTTTTCACTGATCAATGCAAACATGATTTATTAAATAAAGTAGAAGTCCATGCTTTATAACTCAGCATTAAATTTCTCACAGAGAAATCAAGAACAATGTTTCCTATCATCGATAGGTACCAACTGTCTTTGTTAAATCTTCCAACTACCATTTCACTAAAAAAGCCAAATTAAGTGGGAGCTGCCTTTACAGATGATGCCTGTGCCTTGGCCATTCTTCGAACCAGTGCTTCTTGTCGTTTTCTCTGAATTTCTTCAGGAGAATACTTCCTATTTTTCTCTTCTTCCTCTAAAAAGGAAACAAAATACAGGTACTAGTGTTACAGACTATAAAGCCATTCTTAAGATCTGTTTTGTTTTTTTTTAAGTATATTTTATTGATTTTAGAGAGGAAGGAAGAGGGAGAGAGAGATAGAAACATCACTGATGAGAGAGAATCCTTGATTGGCTGCCTCCTGCACGCCCCCTACTGGGGATCGAGCCCGCAACCCAGGCATGTGCCCTTGGCCAGAATAGAACCTGGAACCTTTCAGTCGGCAGGCCGACGCTCTATCCATTGAGCCAAACCAGCTAGGGCTTAAGATCTGTTTTAATTTTTACTTTTTTATTACCCAGAGTTGCTACATTGGTTTGGCCATTAAGTCACACTAAACTACTATATGTGAAATTCCAAGTACAGACATAATGATGTAGACCAAAAGAAAACAAAAAATCATTGATAAGTCTGTCCCTATTTGATGCACTCTTTTCAGTGTGATAAAATTCATTTGATTAAAAATGGTACATTTTGACTACCCAGCAAATAATTCTTGTGAATAATGACATCTAATTTATATAACAAACAAATACATTTTAAAAACGGATTTTAAATGTAAAGTAGTTAAAATATAATGAATTAAATTAGATACTAATACTTCAAATAGTGTATTTATAAGATAAGGTATATTCATATTCACCTCTATAGAACTCCAAGATTTCATTTCAGCCATTCAGGAGAAATATTTTAGCATGATAGAATGAAATCCAGCATGTCAATAAACATGTAACTCATTGTCAGGTATTATCTTTTTATTTGGAGGACACATATTATATGAACATTAGAAAATTATTTTAAAAAGCAAAATATATGAATAAATTCTTCAATTTGAATGTCTTTTTAATATATAAAAATGTGAAGCATTCTGATATAGGTATATTCTTATGCATACTTTAAATATACTATAAAATAAACAATGTTTCAAATTAAACAAATGAAAATAGAAAGTTCTATTTTAACAAATCATCCAATTCTATCTCTGCCAAAATACTGAGTTCTAATATAATGAATTTAATTCAATAGTTAAGTCACTTTGAGCTAATATAATAGATTATATTAAAAAGAATCAAGCTTTAAATAGCAAACCTATTTCCTCATTTAAATGCTTTAAAATTAAGACCATCACCTTAATACATCTTTAAATGACCTTGTATTGTATTCATAAAACTGTTTATGTTATAAAATCTGCCTTTCAGAGAAGAAAATAAGAATCTGTAGTATATCAGCAGCAAAATATTATTTATACTGACATCTAAATAAAGGTTCATAATTTGTTACAAGACATTTCTCTTGTTAACTAAGGGAAATATATCTAAAAATATATCACCTGTCTTCCCTTTCTTTCTTGGTATAATCTGAATGGGAGTGGGTGTTCAGGGTAAGAGATATGTATTTCGAGTAAATTCCCTAATGACTCTGATGTATTTTATTTCCTAAACTATTTATCTCAGAGTATAGCTTTTTTTCCTTACAGAAAAATACAAGATACTTAAAATTAGCCAGATTAATTATCTAATATTTTAGCCTCAAGCCTAAGAAACACAAGAAACTCAGAATACATGCACACACAGTTTACATTCAATTGACTATAAGTTTGGAAGGAACACAGGTTAATAATCCATGACGACAGAAAAGAACATAGCTCCCTAAAATGGGCCTTACAGTTGGCTTGGTGATATTCTGGAAAATAATTTCAAAGGATATAATAAAGTCACACCATGAAAATTTGATTTAGAGAGAGTCATCCATTTCTCCCATCAGCCCTTCCTTTAACTCAATCTGCAATAAAAATACATAGCAAAGTCTCAAACTATTGTAAGGTACAAAGCAAGAGTGACTCTTAATCTTAATCTAAAGCAGGGGTCAGCAAATTTTTTGTTGTTGTTGTAACAGGCCAGAAAGTAAATATGCTAACCTTTGCAGGTTATATAATCTCTTAATCTAACTGCTCAGCTCTGTCATTGAAGCATGAAAACAGCCACAGACAATACATAAACAAATGATGTGGCTCTGTTCAAATACAAATTTGTGTAGGGACAATAAAACTAGAATTGATTATAATTCTCAAAAGTCACAAAATATTATTATTCTTTTGATTTTTCAACCATTTATAACATGAAAGGCATTTTAGCATGCTGCTGTACAAAAACAGGCCACATAGGGTAGATTTGGACAGGCCATGGTTTGCCAAACCCTGCCTTCAAGGACTGAGGTTCTTAAATGAGTTTGTTTCAAAGACATCTGCTGAAGAGCAGTTTGCTACATAACAAAGTAAAAGGAAGTGTAAACAATAGAAAATATCAACAAGTTTAATATTCATTAGAATATTATATACTATACTAGAGGCCCGGTGCATGAAATTTGTGCACAGGTGTGTGTGTGGGGGGGTGTCCCTCAGCCCGGCCTGCACCCTCTCCAATCCTGGACCCCTCGGGGGATGTCTGACTGCCAGTTTCGGCCCCATTCCGCACATCCCTCTCAAAATCCGGGACCACTGGCTCCTAACTGCTCACCTGCCTGCCTGCCTGATTGCCCCTAACCACTCACCTGCCTGCCTGATCGCCCCTAACTGCCTCTGCTTGCCAGCCTGATCACCCCCTAACTGCCCCCCT